TTTTCCCTCCACATTCCATCTCCATCTTTTTCTCTTCCCTCTCCCCTTTTCTCCCCGTTGTCTCCTCTCCTCCTCTATCCATACCACCACCGGCATGTGGTCCGACTCTACCCTGTCCTGTACCTCCATTCTTACTATTCTTTCCCACACCTCCTCATTCCCTACCACATAATCTATCACCGATTCTCCCCACCCCCCCGAGTACGTCCACATTCCCTCCTCATCTCCTTTTCCACATCCGTTAAAAATAAACCATCCTACTTCCTCCAACTTCTCAATCAATATCCTACCTTCCCTATTTACCCTTTTATCCCTCGATTTCCTTTCATCCTCTTCCCTTCTTACATCCCCTCCCTCCCACCACCCTCCAAGTTCCCCTGTCCTTGCATTGAAATCTCCTCCCATTATCGTCCTCACCCCCTTTTCCTCTGCCCATCCCCTAATCTCTTCCCACTTGCTCTCCATATTCCCATTAACATATACCCCCACAATTCTCCATTCCTCTCTTCCTATTTCCACCGTCCTCATCATTATCCCCTCCCCATTCTCCTTCCTATCCCCCACCACCCTTATCCCTTTCCTTATCCCCATCATCATTCCTCCCTTTGCTCTTCCCTTCCTATTCCTCCTTTCCGCCCACTGCACCTCCCACCTATATTCCTTTGGCAATCTCTCCCTCATCTTCTCCCAACCTTTTTTCTCCATCCACGTCTCCAACATCACTATTATATCCCATTCCTTAATCCCCTCCCAAAAATCCCTCTCCTTCCCCCTTACCCCCGCCACATTCCAGAAGGCCACTTTCACTGATTTCTTCCCCCTTTCCTCCACCTTTCCTTCTCTGCTCCTCTCTCTCCCCCCTTGCTTCCTCCCCCTTGCTCCTGCCTCTTCTCGCTCCCTTTCTTTTCCCCTCCTCTCTCTCTCCTTTCTCTCCACCCCGTTCTCCTCCCTCCTTTTCCCTTTCCCCCCCTGCTCTATGCCCTGCTTCCCCCTTCCCCCGACTCTTCCGTCCTCAACTTCTCTTTCCTCCTTCCTGCTCTATTCCTTAGTACCCCCTCCTCTTCATCCCAGAACCACCATTCTCCCTCTACCCATACCTTATTCACCCCCATCATCACCCTCACTCCTTCCCTTGCCATCTTATTCACTTCCTCTCTTAACTTCCACCTCGCTTGCCTCTCCTTC